CAGAGACCATGAAGATCTGCCTGGCTGCCAGCCCTTGCCCTGCTGCAAACACCCCCGTCCTGCTGCAGGCTTCGCGCGGTCATTTGCGGTGGCTCTGCAGCTTTCTGATGGGACTCCTTGCAAGTCCAACAGCGGCTTCCAGCAGGCTGCCGACTCCGCTCACCCCTCCTACTGCAGCTTCTGCTCTTTCCCTCTTCCACCCGTGGACTGTCATTTAAAAACATCACACGGGTCTGGGGAGAGTACAACATGGAGGTTAGGGACGGGAGCTAAGCACACTCATCATTTTGGGATCCTTCGTGTCCCACCTGTTAGAACTGAGGTGGATTCCTCTTCTAGAATTTACTTTTCTCCTCTGTAGAATGGACACAGGAATAGCACCTAGCTCACTAAGGCTGCCGTGAGTGTTAACTGAGCTAACCTAGCTAAAATACAGAGCTGGGAGTGACGGTGAGTGCCATCATTGCGACAGCAAATTTCATGGGGCTCTGGGACTTTTTTGAATGCTTCTGGAAGGTTAGCTTCATCAGAAGTCTGATTGATGAATAAGTGAGTGTTTTACTGCATTCTTGTGGTGACAATTCTACCATCCCGGCTAATCAAGGTGCTGACTGGACACCGTTGCCAGTTGCCACCGTGTGGTTAGCCAACAGAAGCCTGATTCTAGCTTCTGTCACTGCAAGCAGAGGGGGCAGCCTATTCGGAGTGCCCAGCCCCAGACACATTAGGAGAGGCTTCCTTAAAACAGGAAGGGGCGATGCCTGCCCACAGATAGCTCTTTGCCCAGGCAGAGGGTCTGCCCAGAAGCCCAGGAAGCTTTGGCAGATGTTTTGTCAGTGATATTGGAATTGCAAGGAGCAGACTGCAGCTCTCAGGATGGGTCAGGGAGCAGATGCTGGGGGAAGGCCAGGAGAGACCAGTGTATGGACTCCGAGACTTCTTTTTTTTTTTTTTGGAGTCTCACTCTGTCACCCAGACTGGAGGGCAGTGGCCGCTACCGGCCTGCTGGGCCCAAGCGATCCTTCTGCCTCAGCCTTCCAAGTAGCTGGAACTACAGGCACGCGCTACCTCGCCCGGCTAATTTTTGATTTATTGTAGAGATGAGGTCTCACCAAGTTGCCCCGGGTGGTTCTTGAACCTGCAGGCTCAGGCAATCCACTCACCCTGGCCTCCCAAAGCGCTGGGATTACAGGCTGAGCCACCGAGCCCGGCCAGACTCCAAGACTTCTAAAGTCAGAACTCAAATAGCTTAAATGACCCTGTTCTGAAATTAACCAACATTTTTTGAGTATTACTAAGCACCAGGTTCTGGGAGGGGGGGTCTAAACACACCCTACCTAGCTCATGTAGACCGAGTCAGGCCGAGACATGGCGTTCCAAATGACATTTTCCTCTAACATCAGTAGCCTCTGTCATTTGACTTTTCTGCTCTGACACCACCAGGAAGATCACTCTTCAAGGGGGCGGGGAGGGGGCAAGAAATGACTGGGCAGACACTGTGCTTGGCGAAGGCCCTCAGGGTCCAGCCCTCATTCTCCACTTCAGACTCTCGAGGGAATCTTTGCTCAGATGTGGTCCCGAATCTCTGGGAGAAGAGAGGCATTGCATTTTTAATTTTTGAGTTGGAGTCTCACTCCTTCGCCCAGGTTGGAGTGCAGTGGCACGCTCATGGCCACCCCAGTGTCGACCTGCTGGGCTCAGGTGATCCTTCCGCCTCAGCCTTCTGAGTAGCCAGAACTACAGACGCGAGGTCTCACCAAGTTGCCCAGGCTGGTCTCGAACCCGCAGGCTTAGGCAATCCACTCGCCTCAGTCTCCCAAAGTACTGGGATTACAGGCTGAGCCACCGAGCCCAGCCTAGGCGCTGCATTTTTAAAGATTTAGAGCTGTGGCTTGTGTTATAGCTCAAGCTTATTCAACATACATCGTATAGGGGGTGATGGGCAGGTGCGGACAGGGTGTGCCTGAGTTCTGGCTCTGGTTCTGCTATTTACCAGAGCAAAGCGACACTGCACAAGTTACCTAACATCTCTGGGCTCATGTTCCTCATCTCTAAAAGGAAAGGTTGGAGTCGCTGCAACATTTGATGATGATCTATTCAGTCATTCCAGTTAAACAGGCACCAAGTAATTTTTTTTTTTTTGAGTTGGAGTCTCACTTTGTCACCCAGGCTGGAGGGCAGTGGTCGCTCCCGGTCACCACAGCCTCGACCTCCTGGGCTCTGGCGATCCTTCCGCCTCAGCCTTCTAAGTAGCCCGAACTACAGGCGCATGCCACCATACCCAGCTAATTTTTAAAAAATTTATTGTAGAGACGAGGTCTCGCCAAATTGCCTGCATAGGTCTCGAACCTGTGGGTTCAGGCAATCCTCTTGCCTCGGTCTCCCAAAGTGCTGGGATTACAGGCTGAGCCACTGAGCCCAGTCAAGTAATTAATAATCCCACTGTAGTGAGAGTACTGTTATTGAGCACTTATTATAAACCGGTTGCTATGCTGAGTATTTACATGGATGACCTCATTCTCTCATCACAGCCACCTCGGAGGTGGTATTGTCATCTTCATGTTTTTCAGATATAAAAGCTAAGGTTCAAAAAGTTGAAGGTGTCCAACATTACCCATCCAGCAGGTGCAGAGCTGGGACACTCACATTTCTCTCTCTCTTTTTGAGTTGGGGTCTCACTCCATCGCCCAGGTTGGAGTGCACTGGCATATGCACTGCCACCCCAGTGTTGACCTGCTGGGCTCAGGCAATCCTTCCGCCTTAGCCTTCCAAGTAGCCGGAACTACAGGCGTGCACTACTATGCTGGGTTAATATTTTGTTTTTGATTTATTGTAGAGATGAGGTCTCACCAAGTTGCCCAGGCTGTTCTCGAACCCATGGGCTTAGGCAATTGCCTCACCTAGGCCTCCCAAAGTGCTGGGATTACAGGCTTGAGCCACCATGCCTGGCCCACATTTCTCTCTTGAATCGGGGTGATGAGGTTGAGTTTCTTCAATGCTCTCCTTGGAGATTGACATATAAACAGAGGCATTTTCTTGTGTTTGAACATAAAAATGTAAACTCCTCTACACTCCAGGCAAACCATCAGGAACTTACATTGTTCTGCTCATCTTTTTTTTTTTTTTTTTTTGGTATCCTGATGGAAGGCACCAGTCTCCTGTGGGCCTGGCCTTGGCAAAAGGCATTCTGTCATCAGGGTCTCTATCAGGCCATCTACCGTGGGCAGGGGCGAGGTTGGAAGTAGATTCTTTCTTCCACCCAACTCAAAGGGCGAACCCAAGGCTCTCGCACTGCATTGGTTGCTGTGGGAGGCAGGAGTGGCCGTTCCCAGCTTATACACGGAGTAAAAGTGATGGGCAATCTTTCTCCCTATGTCTACGTTTCTCCCCGTGTGGATGTCTCTAGGTATCTAGGACAGACTATTCAAAGCAGCTGATCTGTCTCAAGCAGAGTAGAAATCGATTCCCCCCTCCCCCATACAGCAAAGGCAGCAGAGTGGGTCACCCAAGAGCAGGTCACCAGGAGCACTGAGGTGTTAGGCCTTGGCATGGCTGGTGGGCTTCTGAAGAAGAAAGCGGGCTAAGGAAATAGCCCCCTGCATTCCCATGGTGAAACGGTGGCCATCCTCTGGGCTATTCAATGAGCCAATCATATGCTACTTCTGCCTCCTTTTTTTTCCCTGATGAGACAGGGTCTCGCTGTGTTATCCAGGTTGGAGTGCAGAGGCTATTCACAGGCTTGATCATAGCCAAGCCTCAAAATTCTAGAGTCAAATGATCCTTCTGTCTTAGACTTTCAAGGAGCTGAGATGACAGGTGGGAGCCACTATGATTGGCCACTTCTGCCACATTAATGTCATCCGTGAAAGAGCCAAAATTCAGAAAATTTTATGCTTCTCATTAGCTAGGTAATTTAAAGGACAGTATATTCCATCGCCTCTATTCTCAGATAATCTATGGCTTCAAATACTTAAGTGTCCCTTTCCATTCAGAAAAGAGACAGAGATTGATTGCTCAGTCTATGAATTAGAACGGAAGAGAATTCGATTTTGAGTTTGTATTTGTTTATTTATATTTCAAGCCAGTCTCTTCTTACCTTGGCCTGTTCAGCACCAGAGACAAGTGACCTGAAATATCTCCTAGCAGCCTGTTGCAAGTTATGACTCGCTCAAGAGGCCAGGCAAGGCTGCCATGGATGCGGAAAGCACACGGTCTACGAATCCTCCCTAGATTCCCTTCCCACTCAAGGGTCTCGCCAAGCCGCTCCAAAGCTGAGGTCATGAGGGCACAAGGAGAAATATCCCGCCCACCTGAACAGAGACTGGAAGCCGCCCCACTGGATGAACTGGCCGGAGACAGGGGCGACCAGGCATCTCTTGGTGAAGCCCGTGTCTCCTCCACTGTCTACCATCCAGACCAATGGATTACTTCTTGTCCCTCTGACCCTTTACCCAGCCAGGCCAAGGACTTTCACTTCAAGGCTCCCAAGGTGACCCCTTATCCCAGGTCCATCAGAGCCAGAAAAAGAACAGAGCCAGGAATAGCAGAAAGAATGAATAATAAAAACAAATGGAAAAAAAATCAAGACCTTTTTCCTCGGTCCTGCTTACCCGCTAAGAACACCGAGAACCAAGTTAAGTACAAAAAATGACCCTATGATGATTAGTGTAACAAAATAGATCCAGGGCCAGTCCCTTCCTATGGCATCATTGACCTGGAAGAATGGAATGATAGTTAGTGAGGCAACCTTAGCAACCGAGCACGGCCAGTGCCGGTCCCCGGCTCCCAAGGCACTGACCCGAGCAGCGCCGGGACCCGGGGAGCCTCTAGGTGAGAATCAGAGGCCGAATCGCCTGCCCAGCCCCGTGGGTCAGGCTGTGTGGTTGAGTGGCGGCTTTTTTGGTCTGGTTTTGTGGGGCCTGGGGGGTCCCATCCCTGAGGGGAACCTGAGACCTTGCTCGGCTGCGTTTGTAAGGAGGACGTAGAAAGGGTCAGCTTACCCGCTCAACACACCGAGAACCAGATTTAGAACGAAAAAGGATCCAAAGATGACCAGACTGACAAAATACACCCAGGGTAACTCATAGCCCATAGCGTCCTGCATCTGGAAAGACGAAGGAAAGTTAGAAAGAGAAAGCAGAATTGAGTTAAAGCAAAGAGCCAGGTGGACGGGTGTGTGAGCAGATCTGGAGGAGATAAAGGGTGCTGAGCTTGGATCAAGCTCTCCACCCCTACGCTGGACAGCCTTCATGTATTCAAAGCACATCCCCGTGGCTGTAAATCAGGACCTCTGCTGGCTCCCTCTTAAGTGGGATCATTCTCTCTCTGTTGTTTTATTTTCTGGAAAAGAAACATTTCTCCAGTGTTTTCTATTCACTTGTCTAAGAAGGTGGGTCACCTCAAAAAAGAATTTCTCCAGCATGGAATGGCTTTAGCTCAGCTGGGATGCAGTGACCGTGGAGTTTTTCCTCGTGCCCCGAGGCACCTTGACCTTGGTGTCTGAAGTGGGTCAGCTCTCGCAGACAGAACAGGAGAACTGAAACCTTAGAAGATGTGTGAGAAACGATATCTCCCTCCAGGACCTGCCACCTGGACCCTGAGCCACGCCCAGAATTTAGAGATTGAGAAACACCCAGGGCTTCACACGCTCTCCAGGCCACAGGCCACGGAGGCAGTCATAGCTCAGATGGAAATGGCCCTGACTCTGGAGACTGTGACCTGTAACTGAGTGATGGAGACACTCCGTAAAAGGTCACAGACTCCGACAGTAGCTGGAGGCAGTGTCGCGTCGGCACTGGCTCCCCGGGGCTGTGGGGAGCTGACCGAACGCAGATCTGTGCTCAGTAACTCCACGCTGTCAGCTTGAAACTGGCCGTGGCAGAGGTATTGACACCACAGAAATGGGCAAATGATACGGAGCAGTCACCTTGCTACCCCCCGCCCCTAAGAAGGGATCGTCAAACATTGATCAGCTCACCATCAGCTAGGGGCAGATGGGGAGACAAGGTACAGAGCAGCGTTTTTATCAAAAAGGACATTTATTCTGGTTTAGTTTCTCAAATCTACTTCTTCTGATGCCTTCTGACTAAACAGGGTTCAGTCCCAGCTTCCTAAAAATGAGCCCAACTTTGTCCTTGTGAAATGAGCTTACAGAAACCTGAATTCCTCAGGTACGCAAACTTTTCAAATAATTGACATCTGTGGTTCTCAAAGTGTGGCCCCGTGGAACCAGAGGCTTCGGAATTGTCTGACCTGTTTAGCAATGTACACACTCATGCCCCACCCTGATCCTCCAAGGGGCGGGCCCAGCAACCCAAGGTTTAACAAGTCCTACAGGTGATTCTGAGGCTGGAGAACCATGGCTCTGCTTCATTCTCTCCCAACTTCAAGTATATAAGAACACAAGTCCTGTGTGTGATTCACCACCTATGTGTGTTAAGCTGTACAATAGTGTTTCTCAAAGTGTGGTCCAAAGACCACCAGCATCAGAAGCATTTGGGAGAGCAGCTAACTGTTAACAAAGCAGCTTCCTGGGTCCCCAGGGTCTCAGTAGGGCTCGTAAGTCAGCTTTAGAACCATCCCAAGTGGTTCTAAGGTGGGCTCAGGATTGATAACCACTGCCACAGTTACTACCCCAGGGGCCTCAGAGGAGCTCAGGTACGCTGGGATATGAACACCCTCAACTTGTAGGCTTTGCCAGCTCTGGGTATCCTTAACCATTTGCTTAACTACACTGGCCATACGTTATATTCTTTGTGTGCTGGGCATAAGAAAGACTGAGTGGTACTAAGACTTGGTTAGTCCGACTGGTTTGAAGTGTGATATTCCATTATGTACAAATCTATTGATATTTACCCGATTTTACTATATTTTGGTTAGAAAAAATCCACCAAATGTAGTCCTAGTGCAAAAACTGTCTCTGGAGATCCTTGGCTTGAACCGAGTTAGTGAGGAAGACAAGGGTTTCCGGCATATGCCCACTTAATTGTGTCATTATGAAATTGAATTGATTGATTGATTGATTGATTAAGTTGGAGTCTCATTCTGTTGCCCAGGCTAGAGTGCAGTGGTGCGATCATGGCTCACCGCAGCCTTGACCTCCTGGACTCAGGCAATTCTCCTGCTTCGGCCTCCTGAGTAGCTAGGACTACAGGCGTGCACCACCACATTCAGCTAATTTCTTTTTTTTTTAGCCCGGGTGTGGTGGCTCATGCCTGTAATCTCAGCACTTTGGAAGGTGGTGGTGAGAGCATTGCTTCAGCCCAGGAGTTTGAGACCAGCCTGGGCAAACATAGTGAGACCTCGTCTCTACAAAAACAGAAAAAAATTAACCGGGCATTTTTTTTGGTTGTACAGACAAGGTCTTGCTATGTTGCCCAGGCTAATCTCAAACCTCCTGGGCTCAAGCAATTCTTCCACCTTGGCCTTTCAAAGTGCTGGAATTATAGGCGTGAGCCGCTGCGCCTGGCATGAAATTCAATTGAACCTCAATTTATTGAGCATTTCTGTTCCCATACATCCTGCTCCATGCTTTCCAGAGCTTGTATCCCTTTATAACTGTACAATTTGCTTATTCATTACATTTATTAATTTATGGTTTGTCTTCCGTGCTAGAACGCAAGCTCCCTGAGAACAGGCGATTCTGGTCTGTCTTGCTCACCAGGGCATCCCACATTCCCAGAACAGTGTTTTGCATGTGGCAGACTCAGTACCGGTTCTCTGAGTGAAGGAATGAACTTGATAAGTGCAAGGCACAGTGGTGTGAATAGGAAGCCCTTGCTGGGAGGGAAGACCGAACAACGCAGAGCAGTAAACGTAGTTGCAGGAGGAAGTGAGCAAGGTTCTAGAAGCATCAAGGGAGAGGCAGCTGGATGAGGCTGCAGTGAGCCAGGGCCGGACCAGGACTGTGCAAACCTCACACTGTGAAGCCACTGAAGGCAGAGGAGTTAAGGAGCAGGACGGAAGCTCAGAGTCCATGTGATCTGGGATGGGAGTGGTGTTTCCAGCACTTGGCGATAGTTAAAAATAGAGCCGACAGCTGTAAGGCCTTCCTGGCTGTGGGATGAAGGATTTTCCCAGTGGTTGAACTGCCAACATATCCAGCAAAACAGCAGCTGTTAGGAAAGGTGGAGTGGAAGGTCTTCCTGCGTCAAACCCTGTCCCCAGCATGGGGAGCCTGGGAGTCTTTCTTTAAGCCAGAAGGTGACCGTCTGAACCAAGAATGCAAAGGGACCAAACCTGTCTTCACCATCACAGGAAAAGCAAAACAAGGCTGGGCGCGGTGGCTCATGCCTGTAATCTCAGCACTTTGGGAGGCTGAGGTGAGAGGATTGCTTCAGCCCGGCGAACATAGTAAGACCTCGTCTCTACAAAAACAGAAAGAAACTAGCCGGGCGTGATGGCATGTGCCTGTAGTCCCAGCTACTCGGGAGGCTGAGATGGAGGGATGACCTGAGCCCAGGAGGCCGAGGCTGTGGTTGAGGTGAGATTGTGCCACTGCCCTCCAGCCTGGGCAACAGAGCGAGACCCCGACTCAAAACAAAAACAAAAATGACACCGATATAAGGTGGATTGGTAAAATAAGATGAAGGGGAGAAAGACATGAAAGCCACGGTGAGCCATGGACCACAGGCCACACTGACAGTCACGCAACAGCCTCCAAGGGGCCGGGGTCCACAGGACCCACTTTAACATGGGAACTTCTGGGTCATCCTTTGTTTATTTTTGGCAGCGGTCACCTCAGAGTCCACGTTTGTTCTGCAAGTATTGACTGAGTGCTTACTTTTTTTTTTTTTGAGTTGGAGTCTCACTCTGTCACCCAGACTGGAGTGCAGTGGCCGCTCCCGGCCACCGCAGCCTCGACCTGCTGGGCTCCGGCGATCCTTCCGCCTCAGCCTTCCGAGTAGCCGGAATTACAGGCGTGCACTACCACGCCTGGCTAATTTTTGATTTACTGTAGAGATGAGGTCTCGCCAAGTTGCCCAGGTGAGTCTCAAACCCGTGGACTCAGGCAGTCCACTCACCTCAGCCTCCCAAAGCACTAGGATGACAGGCTGAGCCACCGAGCCAGGCTGAGTGCTTACTTTCTGTGAGACGCTGTGTTCTGTATTGAACTCTCTGTTACAGTGTAAGCACGGGGTTGAAAACAGCATGGGGATGGGCATTCAAGCACCTGCCGAGGAAGATGGAGACCTGGATCCAAGGTCATGTGAAGCCTTTGGGTGACCCTGTGGCTTTCCCTCTCTCACTTCTGCTGATGAAGGTGAGAATGGACTCTATCTCCACGAGTGTTTCTTTACTTTTTGGGAGGGTGTGGAGGTAGGGAACAGCTGATGGAAACCATGGACTCTCACCAGAAAACACGCACACCCACATGCAGCCCTCTGCCCAGAGGCTCGAGGGGCCATGGACACCCTGAAGCCCACATGGAACTCCATGTCATGGACTTGCTTCACGTGACCAACCAGCCTGTTCTGTGCAATCTCAAAGGTGCACTTTTCCCAAGTGTGGGGCAGGAGAGGGAGGGTGGCAGAGGAGGTCTGCTCTGTGCAAGTTCCCTCTGCTCCTCCCTGGACCACAGACCCACCTTCCTCAGGACAGGTGGGAGCTGCCAGTTTCAGCAGGCGACGTGTGCTCACCACGCTGCTACCTCACATTGTTGCTTCCAGAGCCTGGGCAGATGGCAAGTGGGAGGGGCTGGATGGCGCCCGACCGACCCCCTCAAAATTAAATCTTTCCTTGTCTAGTCCTCACACCCCCTAAATTTTGTGATCATTTAACCTCACAGAAAACACAGTCTTCGAAGTCACACAAACCCATAATTTCCTTGGGTCCTTGATTCGCCTGGGAACCCCTTTCTCTGTGCCACACACAAAGTGACAGCATCATTACGGAATTTCAAATAGGGGAGTCACAGACCTCAAGGTCATGGTCTCACAGACGGCCAGGGCCAAGAAGCTCATGGTCACTCCCTCCCTCTTGCTGTCCTATGTTTATTTCTGCTTTAGCCCCTCCTTGGCTAAATGGTCCCTGGAGAGATTTGACAGGGGGAATAGAAGATGGGAGGACAGAGGGGAGATGCACGGGGTCCAGGGTGGTCCTCAA